GGGCACGACCATTTTAATTTCTCCGCTGGCCAAAAGTCCTGTGCAGAGCTTCAGTCGCCGTGGTGGAGGCTGGAAAATGGCCTCAGCGAAGACTCGTCTGTCCCTGGAGCATCGCTGGAATCAGACTCATGTTCTCCACTCCCCACGACCATCAGCGCAGCAGCAGCTCAGGATATGGCCTGGTCCCGGATATGGAATCCTTGGGATCATCTCGTCGCTGATCTTGGATCCAATCAGTGACTCCGCATAATCTGAGGACCTCGGGATGAGTATCCCCAGGTGAAAATAGAATAAAGAGAATAATTAGCGTAGCTGCTGTTCATAGTGTATATAAACAAGATTCAGAAGCCTGTGTGGAACCCGCTAGGTGATGCATTGAGTGTATGCTTTACTAAACAGATAGGTCTTTAATCTAGTTTTGAACTGGGAGAGTGTGTCTGAGCCTTGGACGTTATCAGGAAGGCTATTCCAGAGTGTAGGAGCCATGAAAGAGAAGGCTCGACCTCCTTTACTTGATTTTGCTATTCTAGGTACTACCAGAAGCCCTGAGTTTTGAGATCTTAAAGAGCGAGTTGGATTGTAGCGAGACAGAAGGTTGGTTAGATAAACAGGAGCTAGATTATTTAGAGCTTTATAGGTGAGAAGTAATATTTTAAATTTAATACGAAACTTATAAGGTAGCCAGTGTAAGGAGGATAAAATTGGGGTGATATGATCATATTTTCTTGACCTGGTCAGAACTGTGGCTGCTGCATTTTGTACTAATTGAAGTTTGTTAATAGAGGATGCTGGGCAGCCAGCAAATAGAGCATTACACTAATCCAGCCTCGGAGTTATAAAAGCATGGACTAGCTTTTGTGCATCTGAGATAGATAGCATATTTCGTACTTTAGCGATATTTCTCAGATGAAAGAAGGCAGTTTTTGTGACATGGGATATATGGTTTTCAAAAGTTAGATTGCTGTCTAATATGACAGCCAGATCTTTTATAGTAGAGCTAAAGCTAACTTTGTATCCCTCTAATTGTAGATTGAGTTGCGAGATCTGCTGTGTGCAAGATTTAGGCCCAATAAGTAATAATTCTGTTTTGTCAGAGTTTAAGAGAAGAAAATTGTTGGTCATCCAGTCTTTAATGTCTTTGATACACTCAGTTAGTTTAGACAGTTCAGACGTCTCGTCAGGTTTAGTTGAAATATATAATTGAATATCATCTGCATAGCAGTAAAAGCTGATCCCATGTCTTCTAATAATGTCTCCCAGAGGTAGCATGTAAATTGTAAACAGTAAAGGGCCTAAAACTGATCCTTGAGGCACCCCATATTTTACTGGGCTGACTTGTGAAGGCTGTCCATTAATAGTCACAAACTGGTAACTGTCAGTTAAGTATGACTTAAACCATTGTAGAGCCTATCCCTGGACACCTGTAGACTTTAAGCAATTTATGAGGATATTGTGGTCAATGGTGTCAAATGCCGCACTAAGATCGAGTAAAACTAATAGCGAGACGCACCCTCGGTCAGCAGCTAAGAGTAAATCATTGGTTATTTTCACTAAGGCGGTTTCTGTACTGTGATGAGCCCTGAAACCTGACTGAAACACTTCAAAAATATTGTTCGTCTGCAGAAAAGAGCATAATTGAGTAGAAACAACTTTTTCTAGTATTTTAGACATTATATTAGACTTGTCACGATACTAAATTTAGGTACTGAAATAAAAAAAGTCAATTTCCCGTTAACATTTAAGGCACTGTTTATGGCATTTTTGAACAGTGCTGATTTGCCATTGTGTTCATGTGCTCAACAGAAATGACTGTGATTGGCAGTCACAGTGAAGATCATCAGTTCACCACTAGTGATGGGAAGTTTGGATAATTTTACGGACTCGTATCTTTGAGTCTCATTCATCGAGAAGAACGAATCTTTTTTCGAGTCATTTTGTTCATTTGGTTTAATTTGCCAAATTGTTATTAAAATGTTACAAATTGCTTCCAAACACATCCAAAAAAAAAGCCAAGACCTTTAAGTGTTTTGGTATCTTAACTACATATTTATAGGCTGTATTACCAAAAAAAGATTATATTTTTAGGGTAATGGTGTCACTAAATATGATGCCAGACATTCAAAGCTTAATTTTAATATCTCAATAATAGCTTTGAATGTAAATATGTTGTGACAATAGGGCGTTTTATATGAGAACGGTCAGAATGAGCAGTATGGTAATTCTAATAGTTACAGAATTCTAGTTCCACTGTTAATATAGCCTACTCTCATGTCTGTGTTAACACAGAATGAAGCGAGTGCGTTGATGCCCATTCGGACCAATCACAGATGTTTCTGCTGAGTTCCTGAACACACAGGCATTCAGCTCATGCTGATATGCTCTCTCATTGGCTGCAGCTCGTCACTACATCTGACCACACGTGGGGTTGAGTCGGCCGACTGCTCTGGAATATTTAGCATGCTAAATGTTGGATTTCCGTCTGCGAGGTGTCGGGGACGCGTCAGCGAGCCTCGTTGATGCGTTGTTCAGTAGTTCACACATAAAGAGCGGCGAGCGCCGAGCACCCGCAGATTTCTTCCCGATCACAGCCCGATCTGTCGGCGAGCTCGTTAACTTCCAAATCGGGCTCAAACCAGGCTTAAAATCCTCTAGTGTGAACTAGGCATTACAATCAGTGTGCGGTATCCACTTGAATACTTGCATTCTATAGGTGTGCGTTTAGAAGTAATGTATTTATATAGTGCAGATATCGTGTTTGGCCAAATACACTGCATCCAAAAAGTATTCATAGCTCACTTTTTCCACATTTTTGTTAGAGCCTTATTTCAAAATGGATTACATTTATTTATTTCCTGAAAATTCTACTCACAATACCCCATAATGATAATGTGAAAAAGATTTTTTGAAATTGTTGCAAATTTATTAAAAATAAAAAAACCTGACAAATCACATGTATATGAGTATTCACAGACCTTGTTGTGATGCTCTAAATTGAGCTCAGGTGTATTCTGTTTCCACTGATCATTTTATAAGGGCTGTTTCGCAATTTTTAAGAATCCTTGCGTTTCTCTGAAGACTGGTCTTGCCAGGTCACCTCGGAAGAACGAACTCAAAAGACCATAAGAAAAGAGAACACATCCTGTGAAAAATGAGATGCTGCATTCTTCCTGATGGTCACATGACCTTCACATGTTTTTAATGGAGAATAATTAAAAACATTATTAAAACATTACAGCATTCATACAATCATTTAAATTGATGGCCACTCTGTCTGAGCATTAGTGTTTTTCTGTGGAGAACATTACAGAAGGACAACTATCTATGCAGCAATCCACCAATCAGGCCAGTATTGTAGCGTAGCCAGAGGGAAGCCACACCTCGCCTGAAAAAAAAAGGCATCTGAAGGACTCTCAGTCCACAGGAAACAAAATTCTCTGGTCTGATGAGACTTTGGAAACTGACAATTAAAAATCGCGGTACACTGTCGCTTCCTATCCAACCTGATAGAGCTTCAGGGGTACTGCAAAAAGGAATTGGCAAAAATTCCCAAAAACAGGTGTGCCAAGCCTGAGACATCATATTCAAAAAGACTTGAGACTGTAAGTGCTGCCAAAAGTGCATCAACAAAGTATTAAGCAAAGTCTAAATTCGTATGTTCATGTGATTTTTCAGTTTTTTTCACACTAAATTTCCTCATAGAATTTTGAAGAAATAAATTAAATTAATCCATTTTGGAATAAGGCTATAACATTTATATATATATATATATATATATATATATATATATATATATATATATATATATATATATATATATATATATATATATATATATTATTATTATTATTATTATTTTTAATAGTCTACAGAACAAACCATCATTATACAATAACTTGCCTAATTACCCAAACCTGCCTAGTTAACCTAATTAACCTAGTTAAGCCTTTAAATGTCACTTTAAGCTGTATAGAAGTGTCTTAACTAGTCAAATGTTATTTACTGTCAATATGGCAAATATAAAATAAATTAGTTATTAGAAAATAGTTATCAAAACTATTATCTTTTGAAATGTGTTGAACATTTTTTCTCTCCGTTAAACAGAAATTGGGGGGAAAAATAAAGAGGGTGTTAATAATTCACTGGGCTAACAATTCTGACTTCAACTGTATGTATGTATGTATGTATATATATATATATATATATATATATATATATATATATATATATATATATATATATATATACACATATATATATATAGATAGATAGATAGATAGATAGATAGATAGATAGATAGATAGATAGATAGATAGATAGATAGAACACAATCCATTAATCATATTTCAGATTTAAACTGTCAATTTACAGACACGCCAAGTTAAGAAATAGATAAATGAAAATAAAAAAATAAAACGATTCTGTTGCAAAATAATCATTACAGTCAGTATAAAACCAAAGTCTGAAATAATTTGCGACAGGAACAGACTCAAATGTCAATGTTCAGGGCTATGTCAATAGCTTATGGACTAACTTCAGCCTTGATTGATGCAATGTTTTCTGACATGTTGCCATAAAAAAAAACATTCAAGTACAACAAAAACAGTATGCCTTGACTACGTCCCCACCGTGGGATATGAATAAATTTGGCATCCATTTCATTTAGTTTAAATGTAAAGATGCTTGACACTGAGGTAAGTGCTTACAGTGGAGTAAATATTCAAAACTAAATAAATGGTTAATTAAATCTGATTATAAATTGTCATCTTTTATTTGAAACTACAATTGCTTAATTAAACGCAGTTTATGATTAAAAAAGACAAGCTTTTTGATTATTAAAGTGTAATTTATCCACTAATGCAAAATAAATAAATAAATAAATCTAGAAACAAAAAAAAAAGTATACAGAACAAAAAATATAAAAATCACAAAACACCAGATTTAATAGAGCACAAGTGAATCAATTTTCCCTCTATTTCTACAGACTGGAAAACAAACAAATGTCCTGTTTTTCCCCAAAATAGTTTATTGTCATTAAGAACATAACATATGAGAATTTTTAACAGTAAACCCTGTTAAAGCATTTTTACAGGTCTTCACATCAACGGATTCAACGGATGGCATGAAAAGGCTCCACAATCTCAGCAAATGTCTTCCGTTCTGATTTGACAAAATGAAAAACAGGAATTAAAATCTGTCAAAATCAGTCATATCAATATTTCAAGAAAGCATAATTTTAAAGTGCTGTTACCTTTCTGTTCAAATTCATTAGGATGGTGCCGGATGTATTCAGACATGTCCCTGTCCAATTTGGCATACTTGAACTTTTCATATTTTGTGAGATGATAACCAATGAACCACCCAATGGTGATGCACAGAACTTGACGATGAACAC